AGGGAAAGAACTATCTTATATCTTTTCTAGTATAAAAAATACCTCCTGACTTCAGGCAAATGCTGGATAAATATTAAAGTAGTCTAGATCAGTGATTTTCAGCAGCGTGGCACTACTTCGAAAGGGGTATTTCAGTTGTCACAATAATGGAGGGGGAGGAATGGCCGGGGCTGGACAGGCACCAAGGATACAAGACATCTTGCCATGCAGGGGACATTCGTATAGGTGAAAAACCTACCTGTTTTATTATCGTCTGAGTCTGAAATGTAACATTTATACATTGAAATACATATACTATAACTTTCTTTCCTTTTATTTTTATCCTAAATTACAGTTAGGTCATTATATTTATTTTTAAATTGAGATATAATTCACATACTGTGAAGTTCATTTTCTTTTAAAGTGTACAATTCAGTGGATTTAGTATATTCACAAAGTTGTACAATCATAGCCACTATCTAATTCTAGAACACTTTCATCATCCCCCAAAGAAACCCATTAACAGTCATTCTCCCGTGTATATAGATTTGACTGTTCTGCACATTTCATATCAATGGGATCATACAATATCTGGCCCTTTATGTTTGTCTTCTTTCACTTAGCATGTTTTTAAGGCTCATCCATGTTGCAGCATGTATCAGTAACCCATTCCTTTTTATTGGTGAATAATATATTGATTTTTGGAAATTATATGGGTAAGAAGTTATATTATCTATGCACTTTAGGATAGAAAAGAAAGTGTTAACAAAATATATGTTATAGAAAGGAACATTGGATCAGAGCCACTAATCTAGCTGGAAAGACAAGACACATGTATGTAAAAAGGCAATTAACAACCCAAAAAAACATATTACCAGGGTATAGTTAAATTTTTCGTGGACAAAGGTGCACAAGTAAGGATTAGGCAGAGGTCAGATTTGAGTGATAGATCCTATTCAGTTAATTGATTGGCAAAGCTTGCAGTGAGATACAGCCATCCGAAAGTTAAACTGCCACCCGCATAGGATGCTACTCCGTCTAAAGTAATCTCCATTGAGCAATTTTTTCTTCGACAAGCCCTTGGAGTGATGAAGGAAATCAGCGGAAGCAAAGTGAGCGGTACGGAACTTAATGGATTGATAGCTCCGCTGTGGCAAACCTAAGGGTCGGGTTTTGCAGAGCTGGGAGGGGCCAACACCGACCCCTGCTGGAACTCCGCCGCCACTTTCCTCTCGCGCCTTTGTCCAGCTGTTTAGGCCCATATCGGCTGCCGTGGCGGGGCCACGCTCAGCTGTTGGGGGGCGGGGCCTCCGCCAACTATGGCGGGCGAGCTTGAGGGCGCTAAACCTCTGAGCGGGTTGCTGAGCGGCCTGGCTCAGGACGCTTTCCATGGGCACCCGGGCATCACGGAGGAGCTGCTGCGGAGTCAGCTCTATCCGGAGGTGCCACCTGAGGAGTTCCGCCCCTTTATGGCGAAGATGAAGGGGATTCTTAAGGTACCGCTACTCCCTGCAGCCTCCGCCGCGGAGTCGAATCTCTTCCCCGCCGCCCTCCGACTCGTCACCCCAGAAGCTGAAAGGCTTCCCTCCTCAGACCTTCGCTCCAGGGGCTCCACATTACGCTCCTTCAGATCCCCAGCACTCGCTCTGTCCCTTTTCTCACTTTCTTAGGGCTCCCCGCAGCAGTGCTGACCGACACCCACCGGAGAACACTTGGGTTTTGTCTCCAGACACTTCTCTCGTGTAGCTTACGATTTCGAGTTGCCTCGGCGGATCTGTGCGCTCCATACTTTTTAAAATTAAGAGCGATCAAGCTATCAGCTTTCCCAGGCCGTGGAAGTGTTCAAGAATGTTAAAGTGATCATGTGTGTGCCGGGATAAGGGGTGGGTTAGCCGGAGTGAATCCCAGTCAAGCAGTCCACTGTATGGTTAAGAGAGCACGTTCACCAGCTTGAAGTCAAAGAGTAGCTCAGCCTGTCCAATAGAAATGTAATGAGAGCCAAACATGCAATTTTTACAATTTCTAGTAGCCACATTAAAAAAGTAAAAAGAAAAAAGTGAAATTAATTTTAACATTTTGTTTAACCTAGTATATCCAAAGTATTATCTCTTCACGTGTAATCAATATACAAAATATTAATGAGATGTTTTAGATTATTTTTTTCACTAAGTCTTTGAAATCTGGTGAGTATTTTACACTTAAATCACATGTCAGTTTGGACTAGTCACATTCCAAGTGCTCAACAGTCGCTTGTGGCTAATGGCTACCATATTGGACAACACTGGTTTAGACTAAGAACTAGTGATAGGACTGAATCTAGTAATTAAGTGTACTCTAGAGATAACCTGTAAAAATTATTTTTGTGGGCCTCCTATGTGTTAGGAACTCTGTTAGACATGTTATATTTTATTTAATTTGTTTCTTGCAAAAACCTTATGTGGTGTACACCCATTTTAAAGATTAGGAAACAGGCTCAAGGAGTCTAAGCATTTAGCCTAAGCATTACACTTTGATTAAAGTCAGTGTTGATATTTCATCTGTTATCCTTTTGCAGTTACTGTGTTTCAAAACTGCTTATGATACCTTAAAAAGGCAGTTTTTTTTTTTTTAAAGATTTTGTTGTTATGGACCACTTTTAAAGTCTTTATTGAATTTGTTACAATATATGTATATTTTTACATCTTTATTGGAGTATAATTGCTTTACAATGCTGTGTTAGTTTCTGCTATATAACAAAGTGAATCAGCTATATGTATACATATATTCCCATATCCCCTCCGTCTTGAACCTCCCTCTCATCCTCCCTATTCCACCCCTCTAGGTGGTCACAAAGCACCGAGCTGATCTTCCTGTGCTATGCGGCTGCTTCCCACTAGCTATTTTACATTTGGTAGTGTATATATGTCCATGTCACTCTCTCACTTTGTCCCAGCTTCCCCTTCCCCCCAGCCCCCCACCCCCTAGTCCTCAAGTCCATTCTCTACGTCTGCGTCTTTATTCCTGTCCTGCCCCTAGGTTCATCAGAACTATTTTTTTTTAGATTCCATATATATGTGTTAGCATACGGTATTTGTTTTTCTTTTTCTGACTTACTTCACTCTGTATGACAGATTCTAGGTCCATCCACCTCACTACAAATAACTCAGTTTCGTTTCTTTTTTAAGGGTGAGTAATATTCCATTGTATATATGTGCCACATCTACTTTATCCATTCATCCGTCAGTGGACACTTAGGTTGCTTCCATGTCCTGGCTATTGTAAATAGTGCTGCAGTGAACATTGTAGTACATGTCTCTTTTTAAATTATGGTTATGAATTTGTTACAGTATTGCTTCTGTTTTATGTTTTGGTTTTTTGTCCACAAGGCATGTGGGATCTTAGCTCCTAACCAGGGATTGAACCCTCACCCCCTGCATTAGAAGGTGAAGTCTTAACCACTGGACCGCTGGGGAAGTCCCCTATGTTTCTTTTTTTAAAACTGCTTTTGCTTAGAGGATTTGAATCTGGACAAAAAAAACAAAGCAATTATTTCACAGAAAGTAAATGGATTGTCTCATAGAAATGTAAGGAGTAATATCTCATATGTGATTCTAGACATTCTAAGTAATTTTAGTTGATATCATAAATCACTAGTGAATACCTTGTATTTCTATCAAATATTACCCTTTGAGTGGTCAGAAAAGGTTTCCTAGAGAATTTGACATCTTACCTGAGTTTCTGAAGTGTTTGCTAGGTCTACAGGGGATGAGGATAAGGGACTGCAGGCCAAAAAGTAAGAACAGCACTTGTGTAGGCAGTGTCTTAGGATTTCTAAATATTGGGGGCTACTTCTCTCTAGGTGGCCCGTATTTTGATTCTTTTGTTTTGTTATGAGATAAAAATTGCAGTGTACTGCGAGAAAAGATTGTCTAGAAACTCTCTTTCTTATTTTCTTTAAAATACATTGCTAAATAATATCTAGGTCTTGCTCTCACTATTCTCAGTCCCCTGCCCGAGGCTAGAATACTTAAGTTTTCTGAGTGGTTTTTGAGTAGCATGGTTCTTTTGGTATTGGGAGTAGAATAGAAGATTTGTCTGTGCCTGGCAGCACAGCTTCTGCACAGCTGCTGGTCTGAGGTACCAAGGGAAATAGCCTTTGATTGTTTGACTTAAGGCTGAAACTATGGGCTCAAGATAACATCTAGTTCCAATCTTTATTTACCTTATAAGCAACGCTGAGGGATAAAACATCTCTCTAATTCTTATGGAAACGTAAAAAGCAAACATGATATTTAAACAAAAAGGCTTTGAGCAGAGATGGAACGTCTAGCTGCAATAAAAGAGAACATACACAAATAAACATGATGCAAGGATGCTGTAGCATTTGGAAATAGAGGTCTGAGTGGACTACTGTGGACAGAAAAGAGATATTAGTTCCTTCTGGCAGATGGAGATGCCATTTTTGTTGGGTTTTTTCCCCCAAATAATTAATTATTTATTTAAAGCTGCATTGGGTCTTTGTTGCTGCACGCAGGCTTTCTCTAGTTGCGGCGAGCGGGGGCTACGCTTCGTTGCGGTGCGCGGGCTTCTCGCTGCGGTGGCTTCTCGTTGCGGAGCACGGGCTCTAGGCGCGTCGGCTTCCGTATTTGTGGTGCGCAGGCTCAGTAGTTGTGGCTTGCAGACTCTAGAGCACAGGCTCAGTAGTTGTGGCGCACGGGCTTAGTTGCTCCGCGATATGTGTCCTGCTCCCGGACCAGGGCTCGAACCCGTGTCCCCTGCATTGGCAGGCAGATTCTTAACCACTGCACCACCGGGGAAGCCCCATTTTTGTTGTGCTTGAAGAACTTGTAGAGTATTTTAGACTGAAATGCAGGGCAGCCACATAGGGCATTTAGACTAAGAATATAGCTGAGGTGGGGCAGGAAAACGTGGAGCAGCTTCAAGAAATGGTGAATAGCCCAATTTGACCAATGCATGGCCATACCCAATGTGGAGTATTGGTGTAGGAGGCAAGAAAAAGTGAACCAACTTTTTTATTCCTACTAACCTTTACTCCTGCATTTTTAGCAGGGTATTTTTTTCCCCTTCAATTTAAACAATTTTGGTAAAGTACATAAAACATAAAATTTATCACCTTAACCATTTTAAAATATGCAGTTCATTGGTATTAAATACATTCATAATATTGTGCATCCATCACAACCATCTGCATCTATAACTCTTTTCATCTTGTAAAACTGAAACTCTGTACCATTAAACAGTGACTCCCTATAAACCACTCTCCCACCCTTCTACTTTCTGTCTCTATGATTTTGACTACTCTAAGTATCTCATATAGGTGGAATCATACTGTATTTGTCTTTATGGTGACTGTCTTATTTCATTCAGCATAATGTCTTTAAGGTTCATCCATGTTGTGGTATATGTCAGAAATTCCTTACTTTTTAAGGCTGAATAATAGTCCATGTGGTATGTATATACCACATTTTGCTTATCCATTCACCTGTCAGTGGACACTTGCGTTGCTTCCTTGTTTTAGCTATTGTGAATAATGTTGCTATGAACACGGGTGTACAAATACTGCTTTGAAACCCTGCTTTCAATTCTTTTGGGTATATACCCAGAAGCAGGATTGCTGGATCATATGGTAATTCTGTTTTTAATTTTTTGAGGAACTGCCATTCTGTTTTCAACAGCAGCTGTGTCATTTTACATTCCCACCAGCAGTGTACAAGAATTCCAATTTCTTCACATCCTTACCAGTTATTTTCTGTGTGTGTGTGTGTGTGTGTGTGTGTGTGTGTGTGTTTTGATAGTAGTCATACTAATGAGTATGAAGTGAGCAGGGTATATGTTTTCACGTATTTATGAGAGCACGGGTCAAAACAGTTTTTTCTTTTGTCTGTGGAGTCTCAACAATCTTGAATTCAACATGCAGGCTAGAATAAAAGCAGTGAGGAAAAATACTAAAGAAAAAAATGTAGGAGTCTAAGCAGAGGGAAAAAAACTGAGGATAAAAATGAAGTAGTACCTCAGTTGTCATTTGGTGGCCATACCTTTCAATCATCTATAGAACATCAAGTTCTATAAAGAGAGTGAAAATGAAAAGGGACAACAGGGATAGGAGGAAAGGGAAGGAGGGATGTGTAACTCCCGGCAGGGAATGGGCAGTGGGTACACATTAATAATCTCCTTATTGCCAGCTGCCTGCATTCATTTATTCATAGCCCATGTTTCAAGTTCAGGTGCTTCCTGAGCTGTAGCCTTTCCCTCTAATCTTCATGTTCCTTGCCTGGGTGTAGTGTACTGATTGCTCACATTTGTACTGGTCCGTGTTTTCCACTTGAACTGGAGCTTTTCTACCTTACTTGGCTGGGATATTGACCCTCTGTAGCTTTGCCTGTTGATCACAAAAGGACAAACCCTTCATCTGCTTGTAGATACGTGAAGCTGACTGTTCACTTGCTTTAGTTTTATTTTTTGGTATCTCCTGTGAAACAGTGAAATCAGTGAATTG